CATGACACCGTTGGCCACCCTGATGGACCTGGGCTGTTGTCTGTAGTCAAAATAGATCGTGCTTCAAAGCGTGCTTTCACTCAATAACTGCCCTTTTTTCAGGAGAAATCGATCTCGTAATGTTTTTTACAAATTATTGTGGCACTAGTTTCCCTTCCGGTCCGAAACTGTTTGTTGGCATGGGCAATAATACGGCATGGAAGGAAGTGCTGCAAGGTATGACTGTTTAGTTAGCTTAATTGCTTTATTACATCGCTTAATTATTATTATGAGTAAGTCGACAAGATGACTGTTGCAGCAGTATCGCTAGCGTTAGTTTGTTGTTAGTTTTCGATTGGCACTTGAAAACATGCATCCAGACTGATCCGGTATTGTCTATTCAATAGGCAATACTGGATCAGTCGACTCTATTGATATCGATTTAAATGATTGGTTTTTATTTAAGTTAACACGCGGTCAATCTAATTCATGTTATGGATTGTATTACTGTATGTTAGTTACTTTTAAATAGCGCTTTGATGTACTACAATGTTGTCCTGTAATTTCCATCGTAAAGGTTCAGATAGCACGTACTCTGCATTAAATGCGAAAGTTGGCCTTTGATTTTTGTCACTGCACACTACACAGCGTCGACAATGGCAGTTGCTCTTCTCAATATATAAAGTAGTCATAGACCTAAAGGATGAAGGTAAAAGATTTATAATGTATATAGACAGTTTCTACTTTATGTAGATCGATATTTCATGCCAAATGCCTGTAGAGCGTAAATAGTGTGCCGTGGCGCGCCGCATAAGTCCAAGTTGTAACGTACAAATACCAAAGGTTAGAATGATTTTGCCTGATCTGAACGTTGGCGTCTGTCTATTTGCTAACGGTGAAAAAATGGAGAGTAAAGAGCACTAAAGATTAGTCTTATCCTGCCAATTTAGTCGCAGATTTTTTGTTAGACCCCCTTTTTATCAGGACGTTTAGAACAATAAGCGGTACAGTAAAAAAATTTCACAATTGTTTTCGAATTTATTCATAGTCAATCCAGTTACAAACGCTTTCGTATTGGTTTTCGTAGCAAACGTTCCGAAAGTCTTTTTAACATCCCTTGCAATCCTTTTATTGCGGTGCTGTGCGCCGACGTCGAAATAGAGTGTGACCTTTTGAAATTTGTATATCGGTTCTGACTTACGCACTTCGAGCAATGGCCAGTGCTGTAAACGCTGTACATGATAAGTTGTTTTCTGGCAACATTTCAAAAACTGTAGAGTTGACAAACCATTTCGGACCAGCTTCTTCTACGAGGTGCCACATTTTATGTGGCATCTGCCAAGTTTTATAGCTTGCCAGCTGCCAGAGTCTCCAGGTTTTATCGCTTGCCATGCCACTGGCAGCGCCACTGGCAGGTGCCACTGCCACGTTTTACACCCTGCCCAAAGTGGTCTACCGGCATCAGATCGTCCATCTTCCATCGCCGCACGAGCTGTCGTTCCACGATGAGCACACTGAACTCGTCTGGACCAAACGTGTCGTTCCCTTCAGTCGAGCGGGGTGGATTCAAACAGCTGATCTTGAAAAAGTGCAATCGTGTGCGGAGCGCGCTGCCGTCGGGTGTCCCGGTTATTTGCCGAACCGACGCTCAGTCGAAGGGATGTATATACGGGCCGATGGTGACACGGTTACCTTTATCTTTTGTGAGGAGCGCATTCACCAGAACCGACGAGGCGAGGCATGGCTGCGTTACGGTCTGGATCGATTCGGCAGAAATCATCTCCGGCAGAAGACCGTTGTACGCATGCCGGCTGTCAGCCAGGAACCTGTCCCGTACAAGACAGGTAAAAGTTAGCCTAGACGAATATTACTGCTAGTACGAGTATTTTCATTCCTACTGGTTATCGTTTTCACTGGTAAATGGAACCGCTAGCTTAACACCGTTTGTGTTTCTAAAGGTTCCATGTACGAGCTTCCAGTCCCCCTTATAGAAGATATTCTCGGGCTTTTGGACCTAATATCCCGATTTACGGCCAAGTTGTGCGTTAAACAGTAAATGGCTTTACAGAATATTACTCATGCAGTGTTTAATACGACATGGAAGCAGTATATTTACATAATATACTAAGAAACGAAGGATCGTTTAGCGCAGACTAGAATTTTGGCCTTCCCCAAATTTCATTCTTTGTCAAATCAATAAGAATTTTCCAAAATATATCATGGAGCTTTGTTGTATGATCTGTTTCATTGGTAGATTAGTAGACTGTTTTGTGCACTTAGCATGTACAGATACGATGGTACAAGGTCACTTTGTGTGCATGCGCTTGCACTTTTGGTAATTAATTTTAATGGCTGTTGCGGCGATTTGATTGCTCTTATAAATTAAATGTTACTCAACCGATGAGTAACGAACTGTTTGTTGAGTAACCGTGATGCTTTTTTTATTATTGCGTTTGTTCGTTCTGGTACTCGATTTTGAACCATCCATCTGCCAACCGACATGTCATCGTGGATGCACCATGCGTCCAAGTCAACGTACATTCGATCCCAACTCAAGAAGAGCAGTGTTATGCGTATAAATTCGCCGTGTTACTGGACAAATCCATCACGATCCACACACGCACCCTCAGCTGTATTAACAGAGTGGTCCAGAACGTGCATGCCACGACACTTACATACACTACAACGGTAGGCATCATTGTACGTACGCTCAACGTTAAGGGAATCATACTGGATGCGCTCCTCATTAAAGACGGTCCCACAGTGCTGGTGTACACTTCGTTCACCATCGCCAAGAATTCCCGCTACGATTGCACCTGTCCCTGTCTAGCAGCGCTCCGCCCCGTGTATCGGCAGCTGGTTATTCTGGAGTGCCAGTTTGAATGTCGGCTGCAGGATCACATAGCCCACAATTCATATCCAGGCCGGCTGTGTGCGGTATCTCGCGGATGCACTTTGAAAGCGGCAGCGCGTTGTGTGATGGTACCGCACTGCGCTTCCGCAGCGGAATTAAGCCGAGCTATTTTGTTGGCAATGGACGATGGATTGCCGGCTGCTGATCCGATGCTTATCCGTCGGGTTCAAGCTCATCATACACGGGTGCTGCAGAAGTTGGCGTACCCCGCTAACAAAGACTGGGATGTTGTCCAGATTATTTTACAATTGTATGTGGACATTTATTCGGATTACAATTAGAAAGGGTTACTTTTGTTTTTATAAAACAGTCTGCTTCCGCGGTAGGTACACTGAATTTCGGACGGATGGATCGGCGGCAGACTGGGACAATGCGGATCTGCGGCAGCTGGAGATGTTTCCAAGATAACCAAACTGGCGCTGCTGGCTCTGAATGCGCTGTACCCCCAGGTTGTATGGTATAATCAAGCGTGACACGCACAATAATGGATACCTACTGTATCGTTAAAGTGTATGTATTTGTGTACATTTTTACGTTGGCTAACATACGTACGTATTTCACTGTATGTTAAACTTAAGTGTGAGAAGAATTCAGCATCGTATTGTTATTGCAATATTACTTTTCGCGTATTACTGTAATATACCGGAGTGTAACTATAAAATGTTCACTTTTATCCGACTGCGTGTGTAAAATGAAAATAGAATTCACCTTGCTGAGTAAATGTGCTTATTACATTTTGTGCTTGATATTTGATACTTTGTGCATTTTTTTTATGAAATAGTGTTATCTCGTTTGCATTTTTTTACACTGACGGTCGATGGATGTTGCTTGATAGTTGGCAAATAAAGTTTACTAACTTCCATGGTTTCACTGTACGGTTTTTACGGTCAACGGATCCTGCTTTGCGTTGTGTAAGAGACTGCATCACAATATTATCCAATGCCAAAATGTCATGATGCAGTAGTACCTGCCTGCATTGTACCGGGTGGCTGAACAAAATGGCGGTCTGTTTTACGAGAGCGCGCAGGGCCTGTCGGATGCTTAACTGACATCGTTTTTATTGCATTCAATAGAGCAATGTTTTCAGCATATGTAAGTTAAATTAAACTGGCAATATATGAACGTTTGACTTTTTTATGAATTGTTTCGAAAAAGTAGGCAGGATTGGCGGTTGGCCAGGAAACGAAAATTCGAATTTACCCATTTTCAAACAAAAAATTGCTGCTGTTCAGTTAAGGACATTCACGTACCTCACGTTACTATTTCGGATAGAGGGGTTGTTTGTAGTTTTTTTACTGTAGGGATCTGCAAAATTTCAGCAACCGCGTTTGGCCAATACAAGGAAAAACCGAGCGTCCGCACGAGTAACTCTCATGAAATTCGCAAGCAGGATTTTTGAAAGCTAATTGCTGGCCACTGTTTAAAGAGCTTATCTAGTTCGGTCCTATTCCTGCAAGGGCAATGTGCTAGCTGCATATAAAATTTAAACTGGCATTTTTTGCTGCAACCTCTCGTGCGCCAAAAATTGTAACAAGAAATGCCCATACAAATCAAATTAAAAATCGGCATTTTTTAGAAATGTCAAAAAGTGCGCTGCGAAATAACTCGTCGAGCGCATGCAGCCTGTCCACAACTTTTTACTACTGAAAGAAGACAAATCTTTCTAGACGAAATGGTTGAAAATATTCGAATAGTCCTTGTGGGAAAGAAATGCCGTGAGATTCTAAGTTTTGGGAGCTGGCCAAAATATAATTCGACATGACTTTAGTTGGCCCATTTGAAACGAGTACCCCTAAATTTTTTTGTAAACGTTTTGCTGTTTTAAGTAGCCAATAAAATTGTCTATCTAACGAGTCCAAGAAGTTTACGGTGGGACAAGCGGTTTGCGAGAGACAAATTAAAAACGGAGCCCGCCATTTTGTTCCGCCACCCGGTAGAAACACGGTTGGGGCGTGGTCAGCGCACACGGACCCTGGCGGAAACCTGTGAAAATACCGTACTGGCAGTCTGAAGATTACCACGAAACGATGTACATATAACACCGCAGTACGAAACGCCTGCACGTAGCCATTCTTGGGAAGATTCTTGCGCCGATTGTACCACTCTTCATTGTGTGTCCAGAAAAAAACTGGAACCTGCACCCACGCTAGAAATGTCGGCTAAACGAAGTTATCGAACTTGAACGAAGTTACTAGACATAAAATAGCGGCATATCGCTAATCACCGGAATCGCAGCTATTGCGTGTCGTTATTTGTATCCTGTTTCTTTGTATGTTGTTGTCGCTTTCAAACAACCTGGTACAATGTTGCCGACTTCACGTGGATTTAATATTATCCTTGCCTATATTATTACCACAACCTCGGCGGTAAGGTTTCCCCACTCTATACTTATTAATTTTTTAACTGTTCACCGTGAAAAATTTATTTCTCTGTATTAACTGTCATTAGGGTTGCTTGTGTGAATTTTGTTTACACAACGACTACAAGAATGATGTAACTGATCTGAATCATCTGATAGACTAAAAATTAGCAATATGCCGACGTTCAATTCACGCCGCGTGCACGTGCGGCTTGCGCGTAAAATATAAATTGTATAAACACAGCAGCGATTACAATCGCATCACGGCGAAGCAGCATTCGTGGTTTACTTGTTTATGAAAGAAACGAGTGCAAGTACCTTAAATTACAGGCTGAAGTTTATAGGTTAAGAATATCAGCCTTGCTGTATTTTTACAGATAATCGCATTTCCGAAAGGGAAACTTACCGGTAGCTTCTAAAATGATTGACTTGTGGAAAATTAAAAGCTTCGTGTACTCTACAATACTGGTATAAATTACTTGCTTGATACTTGACACTTGTACTACTTGCTTGCTTGTAGAGATATTTGCTTGTATGTAGCAAGAATTTTCTTGATTGCAGAACGTACAAGGACGTCGGATGGCCGGCTACAGCGACACAGCAGTAGATTATGCCATCCAGCCGGGAATCTCGCTGAACCATCGCCCGCGGTACGCGTATCAGTCAGCAAAAACCCCACTCAAAGTTCCCCAATGGACTCCGGCAACCGCGCCCTACCACGTCGCTCCCGGATCGGGTGACGGACCAGCACCATGGCGAGGCCAGCACGTTTACACCCCGAAAAGCAACTGCAGCCAATGCATCCAGCCCACGCCCACCAGCAGCTCCACGACCGTAGCGTCATCTACTTGTCACGCCCGAACCTTCTGGCGCAAGATCACCGAAACGCTGACGACATGCTCCGACCAGGTTTGCGCACCCACCTGCCTGAGCCTGGCCACGGCGTTACCGCAGACCATCGTGGAGGCTATGTGTGTCCGTACAATACAGACGACCTACACAACAGAACTACTCGAGCAACCTGTGTCTACGCCACCCCCAACAGATGCCCCGACTGGATTCGCTGTCCCAGGCGGGGTTTTTTCCGAGCCAGGGCTGATTGGGGATAGGAATGCTCTTGTCCGGCGTCGCAGAAAGGTGGACGTAGAGACACTAGTGGATTGTTCAGTGGCAACGTCACCGTGCGACATCATCACCATCCAGACGCCGGCACTGGGCAGCGGGGTGACGCTGTCGTCCGACGGCAATCCCTGCTACAGCATCACCGTGACACCCACCGTGACGCAGAAGGACACCTGCACCCTGGACGTGCAAGTAACCTCCTACGGGATAGGGGTCGGCACTATGGAGAACGGTGTTCCAACGCTGGCCACGGTGGTAGTGGATCCGGTGACATCTAGCGGGACGACGTGCACTCTCTAGTAACGCTGTGCACTTTCAAAATCCGTTAATTTTATTTAGTGGACTCGACTCTCCTGCCTCAGGCTCGCTGTGTGTTTGCTTATTGTCTTGGCCACGTGTTTTTAGCATCGAGAACACTGTCTTGACTGATGAACAGGCCGGGTAATTTTACATGGGTTCCTCTTATAAAAAGTATTAACTGATGATTATTGCAACCTTTCGCGGACGAAATCTGCATTGCTGTTGGTATAATTTGCCTACGGCAACGAGTAAAGTATGGTAAAAATGGTAATTTTTCGAAATGGTTTTGCAAATTTCGATTGCTTATACAGATAATTTTTACGTTAGGTAAAAGTGTCGACTGTTGTCTAATAAAACTGCAAGCACCTGATGTATCTGTACTTACTCGTACACTTTGTAAGCATGTTGGTATACTTTAACCCTATCGCTTCCCTTTGAAAATGCTTTACACACATGCGTACATTACGTCGATTTTCGATCATAATATGCGTCCATTTTCATAAATCCGTTACACTGCACAAGCACATGATGCCCAGTTGTAGTCTCTCCGTAAATATTGCAGCGTGTGAGCCATCAGCGGGATACCGTACCAAACGTAACGCACTATATTATAGTGCGTTTAAAATGCCGACACTACCCGACCACCGGCACGATCAAGGTTAACCATCACAAAAAGGCTGCCAAACCCAGGCGGCTACAGTATGGTGTACCATCGCTGTAACTTCCCCACGCAGATGGATGCGTTGACTGTACAGTCTGTACTTGCTGCTTATTATTACTATGTTTAGCTCCTTAGTGCACCGGAGTTGGATGTCGTTCTCGTCTTTGGCATAGGACTTCTTATGCTTCTTCCCATCGGGATCGCATTCTTCGCCTTCCTTGTCAATGTAGTCCTTTTCCTTGGCCTTTCCCTTGCCCTTGTCGGTGGCGTTGGTATAGGCAACCTACGACAACCACAAACTCGTTACTGTAAAATTTACATGAATTGTTTAATTATCGTAAACATTAACACGCCAAAGCAAAGCATGCAGTAAAATATCGGTCAATAAATATTTGCTGTATATAAAAATTAATATTAGCAGATCATATAGGGCGTAAAGGTCAAACGCCACTTACGAAGACGGAGAAGAGGACGAGCAGAACTCGATCGACCAGCGTAAGACGTTCATGGCTGAAAGTAGTGAGTAACTGCTTGGATCGAAGAAAGGAATTAAAGTGTATTGGTTGTATTGCATTTTTCTGAACTGATGCGTAAGGCTGTGATTTTATCGCCAGTGTAGGATGGTTCGTGGATGTGGTAGAGCTCTTCGATTGTGCTGGGCAAGCTGTCCTTTTCCGAATTCTGCTACAGCCAGACTGCTTCCGACTATTTCCAACGGTCAAACAGCGGCAGGATGCGGAATTGCTGATACAGCTGATGCCAGAAGCATGTCGATAGAAACGGGCACCACGGTCTCTCCTGGGCGTTCTCCGCCGGTAGGCATCCACGACATGGCGGACTGAACAGCAACTTGTGCCGATCTTGTGTTTCGGCTGGGACTCCGGGAAAATTGACATTAATGAGCTTTGGCTTTCCTATAGCTTCAACTCTTCGTCACCGCGTACACTGGTATTTCGGCTTATTCAGAGGCCCGTTTTTCGTATTTGTCCAAGGCTCCGGGACCCCGGGTCTCCGACACGGTGACAAACAAGTACGCTACAGCTACAGCCATATTAGAATTGCAAGCAAGTAAATGCAGTTGAATGCAGTTTAAACTAAAACTGTTCTTTGAGAAGTTTCTTAAGAATATTATTGTGACGTGCTGTGAGAGATAAGCGTGGTGTACATACGTTGCAGAACAACGCCCTCCAGGTTAACTATATTTGCATTCCTTTCCAGTTTAATTAATAAAGCCATTCCAACCAAAAAAGCGTTTGCCGCTTGTTGGTCCGGCGATTCGTCTATTAACATTTTTACCGCCACCCGCCGGCGCTGTTGATCCGTGTGCGACTGCGATGGTTGTAACCATCCTTCGTACACGTAGCCGTACTGTCCCGTACCGAGGCAGGCATCTTCTGCAAAATTGCATAGGTAACATATAAGAGATCCCTGTGGAATCGTATAAGTTTAAAGTATGGCAGCCGGAGGTATTCCATTGCCATTCCGTGGTAGCATGCATGCTTCAGTTGCCTGACCTCTGCTTAGCTTCCCGGCAGTTTGCTGACTGAGATATTGCCGCTACAACCGACAAATTACTGACCGACAATTCGCTGACATACAGATTACTGACCTACAATTTCGCTGCCCGACTTCTTGCAAAAGCTATTTCCTTAATCATCAGCTTTCGTGTCGCAATGGTCCCATTTCCTAGGTTTCTTAGCTTGGTATTATCTTAGGTCCTTAGAGTTCTTTTGGGTTCCTTAACTTTTACAGTGTTTTTCTTCGGTTTCGAAACGGTTTACGGTTCTTACGTTTCTTGGGTTTGTTTAGATTTTTTAGGTTTTTAGGCTTTCTTAGTGGGTTTCTTAGATGCTAATAGGATTTGTAAGACGAAATGGTCGCATACTCATACGTTCACATTCAGTACTGAAGTACGCATGCGGCGCGGTGCATCCGGTTGTCGTACTAGTGCACCGCGACAGAATGCGTACAGAATGCTGGGTATGGTTTACTGGACCTTTAATAAGTATCACGTGAAAGTACGAACTAAGTACTAGAAAAGAGAAGTTTGATTAAGTATGCAAACGAGACAGCGGCAACTACTGCTCCTTAGGGGTGAACTGCCATTCACGCACCCCGATGTTAGGGGGCCAGTTGTCTGCCGTGAACATTTTTTCAGACTCACTGGCGTAAGAACCAACACGTGCGAACAAACTATTCTTACGACCCTTTTTAGCAGAATAAAGTGAGACAAATCTGACAGAGATCCCGATGGATTCGATGGTTGCCTTCAAATCCCTACTGTAGTCGTCAGGGGTCTGGTGCTCAGTCTGCTCCAGCGGGGGGATGCCGTGTAGACAGAAATCCTTTTTCTCTCTTTCCTTGTCGGTTTTAGAGACACGCTTAAGCTGTAGGGTCGACATGATGATGTCATTTGAAGCGTTAGAAGCCTTCTCGCGAGTACCGCGAACCACTTTTCCCTTTTTAACGATGGTTGTCCAGGATTCTTTGGTAGCGGGCCCACTGAGAGGGGTTTCATCGAAGCAAGGAGGGGAAACCTTGCAGTCAGGGGTTGACGCTTGTGAAACTTCATTGGACGGGGAACCTTTCACTGGTGTGTCGACAGGTGTCGTTGTGGTGGATCGAAACCCGGAGGGTTGAGGAACTAATCCACCAGTTGCGACGGTATTCGTAGGTAATTTGACAGTGGTTGCTTTCAAGGCTGTAACTTCGTCCCGGAGTGCCTGCAGTGTTGCAGAGGCCTCATCGTACCTTTTCTGTCGTTCTTGTAGTTCGCGTATCTGGGCCTTCACCGTAGTTAGCTCTGCATTAAGGCGCTTGTTTTCTTCCACGATCGGGGTGATAAGCGGGGAGACTTGGGCCTGGAAGCACTTGGTAATCAAGCCGTTCAAATCCTCGTGGTATACAGGGTACTTTTGTACGCATTCCAGATCGCTGGCTATGGCTGGGATCATCTGTCGTATCAAAGGGATAAGCTTGGTAAAAGACCACTGATCCTTGGCCGTTCCATCAGGGAATAGCTTGGCAAGTTTCTCAATGGAGAAAGGCTCGTAGCCATCATCCTCGCTGGCATTGTCAGGCATGGTTGTCCAAAAGGGGAGCACGGGTCCGGCCCCAGATCCGTTGACAATGAATAAATCAGCCAAATTCTTTACACTCCCAGTCTTTGATTAAAAAGTGAAGGACTACCGGTCACTTGCTTCAAAACAAAACGGAGCGAACACAACCTTAAACTAACGGTATCACTAACCGTAAGTGAAAATTAATCGTCGCAGCAGATCGAGCTTTATTTGCAAGTACCAACAATACAATAAATACAATAAATTGAATATTTGTAACTTGTTTGAAGATCCCCGTCAAAGGTGGTCAGAAGACTCGAGATTATCGTCATCCCATTTCCAGTGTGGTGCCACAGCAGATCCTAGCGTCGTATGAGCTGCCGCATTCGTCTGTCTCTGTCACAAGTAAAATATTCGTACAATTTAAAACTAAACGGTCGGGGGAGTAGGTATGGGAGTATGCGACCGTTTAGTTTTAAATTGTACGAATATTTTACTTGTGACAGAGACAGACGAATGCGGCAGCTCATACGACGCTAGGATCTGCTGTGGCACCACACTGGAAATGGGATGACGATAATCTCGAGTCTTCTGACCACCTTTGACGGGGATCTTCAAATTCTCCCTCATTTGTTTTTTGAAAACTGTTTCTGTAGGGCCAACGTAAGACGGACTTTCCTCCAACAGTTTCTGCAGTAATTCATCCGCAGGTATCCGTTTTTCACTTGATATGCACAAGCATCGTTCGATACATGTTGCGAACGGCCCTGATATCTCCTCACAATTAGGAACAAACGGAACGTATCCGTCGATGATCAGTTTAGCAAACGCCGGATCGGTTAGCTTATCACCGGCTTCGAGTTTCTGGAATTTATTCTTCCGCAGCCATTTCCTCTCCGTGCCGATGATGCAGCCAGCCAGTTCCAGCATAATACAACCCAGACTCCACATGTCGGTTTTTCGTCCGGGGTTTTCCGCTGGGAGTGATGTCTGGGAGAATTTTCGTAGCATCTCGGGCGACATGAAGCGTATTGTGCCACGCAGATGTGTGATGTCATCCGTGCACGTGACACTGCGCTTCATCTGCACGAGATCGTCCAGGTCACCAATTAATAACCTATGCTGAGAATAACTTATGCCAAATGCCGATCCAGCCTTGACGAGTACGTTGGCCGGTTTGAGGTCGCCGTGTATAACGTTGTGGCTATGGAGGAAATGCAGTCCATGCGCTATATCCGTCGCAAAACTAACTGCTACACTCCATTTTGATAATTCCTTGTTGTCATAATATTTTTTTAGATGATCCGCAAGATCACCATCTGAAACACATATATTAGAAATTCAGGGTTACATAATTATTAACTGATCTATTTTATTCCGATTTGCTTTAAAGTTTAAAGTTCGCTTTAAAAGAAATTTAAATATACGGTCGTAAGTTCGTAACTGAACGAAACCCAGACTTACTGAAATTTGCCCAAATTTTAAAAATAATTTTATCATTTCAGGAAATTGCTAATTATTTTTTTGAGCGGAAACGATGCATGATGACTGATGCACATATCAGAGCAAAAACATCTCTGGTTGAAAAAATTTTCCAGTTACCGGGATAATAGTCCATCATCAGCTCAACGGAAGACCTTCCCAAATTTTTAGTGATGGTAATTTTATGGTAAGCCACTAGATTCTCGTGGCCAATAGCTAAAAGCATCTTCAATCGAGTCAGGCATTTCTCCCATTTTGTCGAGCAGGTCCAGATTTCCGCATCTTTATCTAAATGGACAGTTTTAACTGCCACAATCTGCTCTCCCTTAAAATTACCGCGATCCGTAATTGTCGCTCGGTAAATAACCCCAAACGCTCCTCTAGCAATAAAATCAACATTGCTCTTATAATCGTACGCACAACTGCTGCCAAAATTTTCTCTATGAATAATCCCCAAATCCATGTGATACTCTGTAAGTGTATATATATGTAAAAAACGGTTTGCGCACGCTTTATCGGATTCCTATGGCTTCCACCTTGCAGTGACATGTTTCCAGATATTGCTTGTCAAAATTTAAGTCAGTTCCTCATAGTGGTTTACATTGATAACGAAAGTTGAAATACCGGTTGCTTCGATGTTTGTTCGGCTGTCTGCCTTCAGGGGATACAAGAGCAAGAATTATTGTTGTGTCTTGATATAATATATTGTTTTAGGCAATTGCTCGAAGCGGCTCCGCTGGAAATTATGACAACTGGTATATCATCAAACAAGCTTACACCAACTGCTTAACCTCTGGATGTATAATTTCTGCCAATACAATCATTACAGACGAGAGTCGAAATTAGGTGCATAGGTGATAAACGAAATTCTTCCGATATTTGACATGATTAGCCAAACTCAGAAAAACCTGGTACAATAATAAATGCGTTATATAACCGAAACCTTGCAAGACCAGGAGCATGCAGACCGTCAAATTGATAAGCAATTACGTACAGTTTAGAGTACCGAAACTTGCTCTAAAGGCATAAACGGTGCGGGTATAGCGAATCTGGCACACAATGCTGTTAGATCATCAAGAAATCGCTCAACAAAAACTTAAATTCGATCAGCCTACTTAGCATTCGATTAGCAGAAGTATAGACTGTTATTATATGTATCCATTATATTAAAGCAGGACTCTCTGTGCGTAACCGATCCCGCCTTCAAATCTGATTGGCCAGAACCAGCCTTACCTTTTTGATTGCCAGAACAAGACTTAGGTTTCCGATTGGCCAAAACCAGCCTTACGACAGTCATGCTTTTAACGTAACTAAGCTTTCTAAACTTTAGTGCCTGTAGGAAGTTCCTACTAGGAACTTTTACCTGATAAGCCATAACAACCGGTTCTACCTTCTGCTTTCGACCGTACTAAGGTTTCGAAACCTTAGTGCCTGTAGCCGGAGCTACCAGAGCAGCCAGAGCTACCGGATCAGCCAGAACAACCAGATCAGCCAGAAGTACCGGCTCAGACAGAACAATCAGATCAGCCAGAACTAATAGAGCAGCCAGATAAACCAGAACTACCAGATCAGACAGAACTGCCAAATCTGCCAGATCAGCCTGCACTACCAGTTCTTACAAAAGTTACGCTTCCAAACACAAAAAGCTTTCAATGCTCAGTAAAGCTAAGCTTTGGAAAGCTTAGTACAACTAGGCTTTTGTAACCGGAAGGACACGCGTGCGGTACCCGCCCTAATAAGTCTTTGGTAACCGAAGGCAACGCGTGCGGTTCCCGCCTAAATTAACCTTTGGTAACCGAAGGCATTTTAAGCCTTTGGTCACCGGAAGCCACGCGTGCGATACCCGCATTAATAAGCCTTTAGTGACCGAAAGCCTTTTAAGCTTTTGGTCACTGAAGGCCAAGCGTGCGGTAGCCGCCTTATTGAGCCTTCGTTCACCGAAGGTTACGCCTGCGGTGCCCGCCTTGATTCTCCTTTGGTTGCCGAAGGCCTTTTAGGCCTGTGGTCACCGAAGACTTTTTAAGCCATTGCTCAGTGAATGTTTTGTAGCTGAAAGGTTAGTGTTGGGGATCCACACTTTTAGGCTGTGTAACTGAAAGGTGCGTGTGCAGGGTGAAGCCTTTTTGGCATTGTAACTGAAAGTGCGTGAGCCTGATAAAACCTTTTCGGCTTTGTAGCTGAAAGGTTAGTGTTTGGGATCCACACTTTTAGGCTGTGCAACTGAAAGGTGCGTGTGCAGGGTGAAGCCCTTTTGGCATTGTAACTGAAAGTGCGTGAGCCTGATAAAACCTTTTCGGCTTTGTAGCTGAAAGGTTAGTGTTTGGGATCCACACTTTTAGGCTGTGCAACTGAAAGGTGCGTGTGCAGGGTGAAGCCCTTTTGGCATTGTAACTGAAAGTGCGTGAGCCTGATGAAACCTTTTCGGCTTTGTTAATGAAAGGTGGATGTGATTCATACTTTTAGGCTTTGTAACTGAAAGGTGCGTCTGCCAGATGAAACCTTTTAGACTTTGTAGCTTAGAGGTGCATGTGAAGGTTGAAACCTTTTCGGCTTTGTAACGGAAAGGTGAGTGTGATTCATAGCTTCAGGCTGTGTAACTGAAAGGTGCGTGTGCCGGATGAAACCTTTTCAGCTTTGTACCTGAAAGGTGGATGTTGTTAATACTTTAAAGCTGTGTAGCTGAAAGGTACGAGTAGGGACTGAAGCCTTTTAGGCTTTGTAGCTGAAAAGTGCGTGTGCCGGGTGACACCCTCTAAACTGTGTAACTGAAATGTGCGTGTGCTGGATGAAACTTTTTTGGCTTTGTAACTGAAAGGTGAGTGTGCCGGATGTAGTCGTTCAGGCTTTGTAATTGAAAGGTGCATTTGCCGGATGAAACTTTTTGGCTTTGTAACTGAAAGGTGAGTGTCCCTGATGTAACCTTTAGAGGCTTTGTAACTGAATGCGCGTGCCGGATGAAACCTTTTGAGGCTTTGTAGCTGAAAGTTGTGTGTACCGGATGAAACCTTTCCGGCTTTTGCAACTTAAAGGAACATTTGCGGAATCCACTTTTTTGTTCTTACGCAGTTGAAGCTTTTCTGAGTACACCTGCCTCCTGCCTGTAAACCTCCTGTTTGGAAAGCTAAGTCTTTACCAAGCTTAGCTTTCCAAACACATGTATTTCAGTACCTCAGGTACTATTACAGTACCTCAGGTACTGTACGAAGGTTACGGACTGGTTAGCCAGGTCAGCTAGATTTTATCTTTGCCTTCCGTTTCAACTAAGCCCTTCGAACCTTAGTACCGTATCAAACGTTCACTTATTCACCCAAAACTACCAAATCAGCCAGAACTACCAGATCAGCCAGAAATACAGGATCAGCCAGAATTACCACATCAGCCAGAACTACAAAGGCGATTCCAAAAGTTTCTTTCGCTATTTTTTATCTTCCCCCACAAACTCACTTAGCCCTTTTCACCCATATTTTTACTAATGCTACTTACTAGCTAATTATTAAAAAATTTAAACTAGGTCCTGTTCAAAGAGGATGGGGAAAATTCGCCAAAAAGACTTTCAGCCGTGTCTGGCAGCCTATCTTCTGGGTTCCTCGCAAAATTGTAACATTTTTAACATTCTCTCCGTGCGAACGTCAAGAAGCACAAAACGTTTTTATGTTTTAAGTCTTCCCTCTTGCAGTGTAAATCAAGATCGAAAAGATTCGGCCCTTTTTGCTTTTAGAAGAAAATTGGAAGTGTTAATGAACCAGTTGTCAAAACACGAAGCTTGCCAGTTTCCATACGGCAAAAATATTAAAAAATCCGGAAAACAATTTGTTGCAAACAGGCTAGCGATAAATTGAATCATAACCAGTATGTGCTGGGGTGGGTAAAGGATACAGTTTTTATTGTGGAAAAGAATTGGAAGGTCGGAATAGCAGAAAAGCGGAAAACCAAAAAAAACGGATGTCTGTAGAAACAAATTTATTATTTTAATTTGTGAAAGTTTGGAAGCGATTCATGGTCGTGATAATAACAAGGACATGGTAAGCCTTCACTATTATAAATTTGATTCAAAACCATCGAGAAGGAGAGAAGTGACACCATTACAGCTGAATTTTTGGAAAGACAGTGGTTAGGCTACCAGAAGTACCACCGGCTAAATGATTTTTCACCTGGGCATTTCTTCATCGACAGTTAAAAGTTTTGTTTTCTTCGATTACTAAGAGAACATGTTACGTAATAAAAAACATATCGTTTGCATATCACTTGAAATGGCACGAAGGCAAAATAGGGAAAGAAACTTTTGGAATGTTCTTTGTATTAGCCCAAACAGAACTACCAAATCTGCCGGATCAGCCTGAACTACCAGATCAGTCAGAACTACCAAAGGTGCGTGTGCGTTATCCACCCTTTTAACCTTTTGCAACCGGAAGGTGCGTGTGCGGGATGAACCTTTTAGTCTTTTGCAACCAGAAGGTACGTGTGCCGGATGAACCGTTTTAGCCTTTTGCAAACGGAAGGTGCGTGTGCCGAATGAACTCTTTTAGCCTTTTGCACCGGAAGGTGCGTGTGCCGGATGAACCCTTTCGAGCCTTTGGGTAACCGAACGCCTTTTACGCATTTAGCCTCCGAAGACCTTCCAAGCGTCTGGTCACCGAAGGCGTTTTAGGCCTTTGGACACCGAATGCCACGCGTGCGGTAACCGCCTTATTGACATTTTGGTCACCGAGGGCCTTTTTGAACCTTTAAGTCACCGAAGGCCTTTTAGGCCTTTGGCCACCGATGGCCTTTTAGGCCTTTGGTCACCGAAGGCCGGGCGTGCGGTACCCGCCTTATTAACCTTTTGGTCACCGAAAGCCGCGCGGGCGGTACCCACACTTTTAGGCCGTTTGAAACCGTGAGCCGCGTCAGCGCCGCGCGTCCTGCTTGTCCAGTATATTAAAGCAAATTCTCTGTGCGAAAGTTATCCCGCCTCCAAATCTGATTGGCCAGAACCAGCCTTACGTTTCCGATTGGCCAGAACTAACCTTTTGGCTTTCAAGCGTTTAACTCTTACTAAGCTTTCGAAACCTTAGTGCCTGTATGAACATTTACCTGATCAGCCAGAACAACCTGTCCTTGTCCTACCTTCAGCCTTCGCCTTACTAAGGTGTCGAAACTTTAGTGCCTGTACAAACTTTAGCTTGATTAGCCACCAGATCTGCCAGCTAAACTAGAACTACCAGATCAACCAGAACTACCAGAAAAGCCAAAACTACAGTATCAGCCAGAAACTACCAGATCAACCAGAACAACCAGATGAACCAGAACTGCCAAATCAGCAAGAACTACCGCGCGCTGTAAAGCCATTTAGACTTTTTGACGTCAACCAATGAACCAGATACTCCTTTTGGCTTGGGTCCTTACTTAGCTTTTGAACATTAGTACCTTAGTGTCATTGGTCATTGAAAGTCTTTTAATCTTTTGGTCACCGAAGACCACGCGTGCGGTACCTGCCTTAATTTGCCTTTGGTTGCCGAAGGCAATTCAGGCCTTTTGTAACGGAAGGTGACGCGTGCGGTACCCACGTTA